TATGAAATATAAGTGATCACAAATTTCGCTTGTTTGGGCCCTATCTCTTATAGTTTCCAAGAAAAATGGACTTTTATGTTTTCATTCAAAAAATCGATTTTTGGTATGAAATATAAGTGATCACAGATTTCGCTTGGTTTGGCCCTATCTCTTCCCAATAAGCAAAAACCTTTGAAATGATGTAAATGTGTATTTGAAAACCTATTCAAATTTCATACATAGCCTTTGAGAACAAATTTGAAAATTTTTGTTTTCAAATGGAAAATTATGGCCTTCTCAAACAAAAAGGCAGTTAGAAATCAAACGTATTTTTCAAATGTATTTCAAATTTTAAAAAAAGGCTAGAGGTAAGCTTGAAACTAAAAAAAATTTCAAACGTATTTCAAGTATTCTTTATTATTATTTTCATATATATTTCAAACCCTAATTATGATGCTAACTATTGCAAAATTCATATATTTTTTTACATCACCTGAAAATAAAACATTCATACATTTATTTTAGCATATTTTTCTTTTATATCTCCGATTATTTCTCCTATATTTAACGTTTTTTCGCTCCCTTGCTATAGAAAAAATGTTCTGTTTTTATTTTTCTAAAATAATTTATTTTTTGAAAGAAACTTTTCTAAGTTCAATTAAAACAAAACTTTGAAAATTTTATAAATATCACACATTATATTTTTTAAGCGTTTTTTGAAATTATCATGTTTATTTCAAAGGCTAAACTTTAAAATTTGAAAACAATTTGGAAAATACATTATTTAGTTAAGAAAATTTTCAAAAATATTCACAGGTTTGAATCGATGTTTATTGGGTTATAGTTTCCAAGAAAAATGTACTTTTATATTTTCACTCAAATAATCGATTTTTGGTATGAAATATAAGTGATCACAGATTTCGCTTGTTTTGGCCGTATCTCTTATAGTTTCCAAGAAAAATGCACTTTTATGTTTTCACTCAGAAACTCGATTTTTGATATGAAATATAAGTGATCACAGATTTCACTTGTTTTGGCCCTATCTCTTACAGTTTTCAAGAAAAATGGACTTTTATGTTTTCACTCAAATAATCGAATTTTGGTATGAAATTTTAGTGATCACAGATTTCACTTGTTTTGGCCCTATCTCTTATAGTTTCCAAGAAAAATGGACTTTTATGTTTTCACTCAAATAATCGAATTTTGGTATGAAATTTTAGTGATCACAGATTTCACTTGTTTTGGCCCTATCTCTTATAGTTTTCAAGAAAAATGGACTTTTATGTTTTCACTCAAATAATCGAATTTGGTATGAAATTTAAGTGATCACAGATTTCACTTGTTTTGGCTCTATCTCTTATAGTTTCCAAGAAAAATGGACTTTTAAGTTTTCACTCAGAAACTCGATTTTTGATATGAAATATAAGTGATCACAGATTTCGCTTGTTTTGGCTCTATCTCTTATAGTTTTCAAGGAAAATGGACTTTTTTATTTTTCACTCAAAAAATCGATTTTTGATGTTTTTACTTAAAGTGATGAGATGAGTGTCTTAATTGATTTCTTATACAGACCTTTTTGTTCATTTCATAATTAATAAATTTTTGTTTGTTTTTTCTGTAATAATAATTTTTATTAAATATTTTTAATACCACCATTATAATGTTCCTGTTCATTTAATGTTAATGTTAGATTCATTTGAATTTGTTTTGATTTCATTCTGATTTTATTTCTTGCGGTTTATACTGTCTGTTGTGAATTTATTTTTTTATTTAGTAAAGCAACTGGTTTTATTTAATATATTTTTATTTTTTTAATATTTAATAAGAGTAACAACATTATATTTTTTTTATTATTATGTTTATTTTTTATGAATTTTGATGTTGATTTATTTTTATTGGTTTTATTCCTGTGGAAAAGCTTTAAAGTTTGTTTTTTATGATATTGAATTACATACTATTATTTCTGTTTGTAAGTGGAGTGTGAAGTTTTAATTTTAGTTAAAGTTACATACGTATTTTATGGTTGAAATATTGAAATATTTTCAAAACAAATCAAGTATTTTTTAATAATATTTTAAAATATTTAAGCTTGTAACACTTTTTTTGGGGCTCAAATAAAAAAAGAAACAAGCTTAATCTTTTTTATGGGCTATTTTTTGAAAATATTTTTAATATTTGCAATAATTTTGTATTAAATATACTTTTTTTAAACATTTTTTAAAATGTTTTTTAAGAGTTTTTGTATCTCATTTTTTAATTATTACAAAATATTTGTCTTATATGTTAAGTTTCTTTTTAGAGTTTTAAAAAAATATTGGCACATTAGTATTCATATTTTTTATTTTATTTCCTTGAATGCTATTTTAGTTGAATCTGTTTGAAATCTGGTTCTGGGTTTTTGTGTTTTTTATTTCTTTAACTGTAAACTTGTATAAAACATTAGTGAAAAATACAAAGTTGTATAAAGTTGTAGTAAGAGTAGGAGTTGCATTTCATTATTTTTTTTTATACTAACAAACACAAACACACTTATTCACATATTACATACACACAAATTATATTAAATACAAATTTGTTTATATTTTATAAACAAAAAGTATCAGTAGGCAAATGTTATTCTTATCAGAAGTTCCGCAATTAGTTTTTTACTAAAAGAGAAAATAGGAAATATGATCTAAAGATTAAGAAACTTTTCCGGAAGTAATTCTGAGCGTTCGCTAAGTTGATTTAAACGAAATTTAGTCTATAGTCTAGTCTATAGTCTAGTCTATAGTCTAGTTTATAGTCTAGTTTATAGTCTAGTCTATAGTCTAGTCTATAGTCTAGTCTATAGTCTAGTCTATAGTCTAGTCTATAGTCAGTCTATAGTCTAGTCTATAGTAGTCTATAGTCTAGTCTATAGTCTAGTCTATAGTCTAGTCTATAGTCTAGTCTATAGTCTAGTCTATAGTCTAGTCTAGTCTAGTCTAGTCTATAGTCTAGTCTATAGTCTAGTCTATAGTCTAGTCTATAGTCTAGTCTATAGTCTAGTCTATAGTCTAGTCTATAGTCTAGTCTATAGTCTAGTCTATAGTCTAGTCTATAGTCTAGTCTATAGTCTAGTCTATAGTCTAGTCTATAGTTAGTCTATAGTCTAGTCTATAGTCTAGTCTATAGTCTAGTCTATAGTTAGTCTATAGTAGTCTATAGTCTAGTCTATAGTCTAGTCTATAGTCTAGTCTATAGTCTAGTCTATAGTCTAGTCTATAGTCTAGTCTATAGTCTAGTCTATAGTCTAGTCTATAGTCTAGTTCTATAGTCTAGTCTATAGTCTAGTCTATAGTCTAGTCTATAGTCTAGTCTATAGTCTAGTCTATAGTCTAGTCTATAGTCTAGTCTATAGTCTAGTCTATTCTATAGTCTAGTCTACAGTCTAGTCTATAGTCTAGTCTATAGTCTAGTCTACAGTCTAGTCTATAGTCTAGTCTATAGTCTAGTCTATAGTCTAGTCTATAGTCTAGTCTATAGTCTAGTCTATAGTCTAGTCTATAGTCTAGTCTATAGTCTAGTCTATAGTCTAGTCTATAGTCTAGTCTATAGTCTAGTCTATAGTCTAGTCTAGTCTAGTCTAGTCTAGTCTAGTCTAGTCTAGTCTAGTCTAGTCTAGTCTAGTCTAGTCTATAGTCTAGTCTAGTCTATAGTCTAGTCTAGTCTATAGTCTGGTCCATAGTCTAGTAGTTTATAGTCTAGTTTATAGTCTAGTCTATAGTCTAGTCTATAGTCTAGTCTATAGTCTAGTCTATAGTCTAGTCTATAGTCTAGTCTATAGTCTAGTCTATAGTCTAGTCTATAGTCTAGTCTATAGTCTAGTCTATAGTCTAGTCTATAGTCTAGTCTATAGTCTAGTCTATAGTCTATAGTTAGTCTCTATAGTCTAGTCCTATAGTCTAGTCATAGTCTAGTCTATAGTCCTAGTCTATAGTCTAGTCTATAGTCTAGTCTATAGTCTAGTCTATAGTCTAGTCTATAGTCTAGTCTATAGTCTAGTCTATAGTCTAGCTATAGTCTAGTCTATATCTAGTCTATAGTCTAGTCTATAGTCTAGTCTATAGTCCTAGTCCTATAGTCTAGTCTATAGTCTAGTCTATAGTCTAGTCTATAGTATAGGTCTATAGTCTAGTCTATAGTCTAGTCTATAGTCTAGTTCTATAGTCTAGTCTATAGTCTAGTCTATAGTCCTAGTCTATAGTCCTAGTCTTAAGTCTAGTCCTATAGTCTAGTCTATAGTCCTAGTCTATAGTCTAGTCTACTAGTCTAGTCTATGTCTGTACTATAGTCTAGTCTATAGTCTAGTCCTATAGTCTAGTCCTATAGTCCTAGTCTATAGTCTAGCTATAGTCTAGTCTATAGTCTAGTCCTATAGTCTAGTCGATAGTCTAGTCTATAGTCTAGTCTATAGTCTAGTCTATAGTCTAGTCTATAGTCTAGTCTATAGTCTAGTCTATAGTCTAGTCTATAGTCTATCTAGTCTAGTGCTATGTCTAGTATCTAGTCTAGTCTAGTCTATAGTCTAGTCTATAGTCTAGTCTATAGGTTCTAGTCTATAGTTCTAGTCTATGTTAGTTTTTCGTAAATTTTTTTAGGGTCTAGTCATAGTCTTCTAGTTATAGTTATGTCTATTAGTCTAGTCTATAGGTCTAGTCTATTAGTCTAGTCTATAGTCTAGTCTATAGTCTAGTCTATAGTCTAGTCTATAGTCTAGTCTCTAGTCTAGTTCTATAGTCTAGTCTATAGTCTAGTCTATTAGTCTAGTCTAATAGTAGTCTAGTCTATAGTTGATCGTCTTATAGTCTAGTCTATAGTCTAGTCTATCGTCTGGTTCTATAGTCTAGTCTATAGGTCTGGTTCATAGGCTCTAGTCTATAGTCTCGGTCTATAGTCTAGTCTATAGTCTAGTCTATAGTCTATAGTCTATAGTCTAGTCTTATAGTCTAGGTCTATAGTCTAGTCTGCTATAGTCTAGTCTATAGTCTGGTCTAAGTCTAGTCTATAGTCTAGTCCAAACTAGTCTATAGTCCAGTTACCCTCATTTATATGGAAAGATAAGCTAATGGAATCAGTTGTCCTTACGAATTACTTGTAGTTGAAATGTTACAATTTCTTTTTGAACAGGAATCCATTTTTATATTATATTTTTTGCGATTTTAAATAGAATTCCTAATACAGCTGTTCTGTCATTTACAGTGGAACTAAATACTTCCCTACTGATTGATATCTTGTTATAATTTAATATACATAACTATAATTATTATTTATATTTAATTTTAATAACATTTATTAATAATTTATTTTTGTAAAAAAAAATTCAAATCTTAAATTTAACAATGAGAAAATTTGAGAAAACTTAACTAATTTCTATACAATTTTATTAAATTTTTTAAATTTTGTTATAGTATATTTTATAAATTTTCTATATATTATAATAATTATAGTAATTTGATTATTTCTTTTAGATATTTATTAACAATTATATATTATTATTATATTTTAGTCAAAAGTACAAAAATATATTTATTTCAATATTTGTTTTGGATTTGTGTTTTTATAAAAAAATATTTTCTAGCTTTTGCAATGTCATAATCTTGGGCCAAGGTCATCTTAAGATACATATATTTTTCTTAACAAACGACAACTTTCTTTGTATTGAGAAAAACCGAAACTGCACTCTCTTTAATATCATTTAGCCAAAGAGAACCAAGATAAAGCTTTATAACATGATCTTCAGGTAAAGTTCTAATGTAGAGTTTTTAGCAGAGAACTTTCAACTTAACATTTCCCTCAAGTAACCTAAGGATGACCCAAGCTTTCCGAAATTTTTATCATTCAGATTCCTTTTATTTTTATTTCATAACTATTCCATTGTTTTCTATTCGTTTTCTTGCAATTCTATTCTATTTTTTAAGATTATTTGTGTGTGTGTTTAAAGCTTTTTAAGTTTATTTTTTTGTTTTTGTTTCCATTTTGTTTATTGAAGCTTTTCGTTGCGTTTAAAATTGAACTTTTGTTTGCGAACAAAGCCACTCAATTTGCATAATTTCTGTTTGTTTTATGTTTTTCATAGATTTTTTTCTCATACATTTTTTTGTTTAAATTCATTTTTACAAAACCCGTTTATATGTTAAAGAATGAACATAAAAATTATAGATTGAGTAAACTTTATATTTGTATATACGAGGTTTGATTAACAATTAACAAGGATACAATTATATATTCCCTTAAATTAATTGTTAATTCATACTTGCGTAATAGCTTAGAATTTAAAAATTATTCTTACAGGAACAAGATAAAAATAACTTTTGTATTAATTGCACCACTTTTCAAACTCACATTAAAGCACTTCTTCACTCAACTTCTACGAACTTACTAACTAAAATTAATATACAAAAGTTATTTTCTCTTTAATTCACTTAAATCATTTATATGTATGTAAGTGTATGTATATATATATTTTCGTCTCTTAACTAACTATAACAATTTTAAATTTTCTTAAATACTTACTTTCTTATGTAAAAAAAATTCCTCTAAAGTTTTCATTAACTTAATTTAGCTAAGCACCCTTAAGCTTTATAAACCATTTAGAACATTGTGTACCCGTGCTTCCCTTACAAATCGGCTAAAAAGTTTTCCCTGAAATCCAATTCCGGATGAGCCGAATGCGTTGAACTATGACCGTAATCACGGGATTTCATAGAGCTACGTGCCGAGGAAGAAAACGAAGAAGTACGACCACTGCCACTGCGTCTCACCACTCGATTCTCAATCACAGACATTTTCGTTAAGGGTTGTGTGGGATCCAGTTCACCGAAAGCACCAGCTATTAAATCATTGCTATTCAATGAATTGAAACTGTCACGCTTGGACATGCGATGGTTGTGATGATGATGTGAGCTATTAGAGCCTGGATTGTGATGGGCCGAGGTTTTGCGACTTAAACGTCGTGAGTACTGATATTGCACAGCACTGCTTACAGCAGGCGCTGAGGATGGTAATATGGCGGTGGTATCACCGGGTGTATAACTATCAAAGAAATCGGAGGGCACCTCCTCGTCAACATTACTTCGTTGTGGTGACTTTGAGGAATGTATAGGCTCCTTGTCATAGGGTAAACTAAGGGAAGCATCATCTTCATTCATATGAGAAGATAAACTAAAGGAATCAGTTGTTCTTAAGGGATCCGTGGAGGTGGGCACTTTGGCCGACAATGATGTTATGGAAGTATTGTTAGAAATTTCATATGAATAGGGATCCATTTTAGGTTTGGGAGATTTTTGACAGATTTTATCTATATCCGGTAATCTACGACGCTCTCCTTCCCTTCTCTTTATGGACTCATTGTTCTTTTCTCTTTGCAATAACTCTTGCATATCCAGACTGGATCTTTCACGCTCTAATAAATCCATTATCTCCATTTCACGTGCCAACGTACTGGACGAATCCATGCGAGAAAATGAGCTGCAATCATCAAAAGACATATCACGAGCACGCAAACCTCCACTGGAATACAAACTCATGCCATTGGGTTTCTTTTCATAGTAAGGTGGTAAACCGGTGCTGCTGCCATTGCTGGAGGCCTGTACAATCATGCCACTTACTATGGAGGAATCTTCACCATCACCAAAATTACTAACGTCACCATCATCCAGCAGACTACTGTTGCCATTGCAATACGTGGAGGAGGTTAAATTCGAGCAAGAACGATTATCTAACGATTCTAAAGTTAATTTGCGTTGACCTCCTCCCAAACAAGATGGCCGGCCAATAACAGCATCCACAGAATTCATGCGTCTTTGTGTTGAGGATTTAGTTTTACCATCGGAAATTATATTAATGCGTACATCACTTTGTTGTTGTGAGGACAGAGAATTTGCACCAACTCCACCTCCTGGTCCTCCGCCAACACCTCCAGTAGAATTATTCTTACGTTTGTATTTCTTAGCATCATGTACATTGTCATTAGTCACACTAGCTAAAGAATCATTACGCTTGGACAGTTTAGCACCATCTTTGCCATGTCTGGGTGGTGGTACCCTAGTAGCCCCTACTCCATCTTTACACATAGAATGATGCTGATATTTTCCATGTTTATTATTAGCAACACTAGATCCCAGTGCATCACTGCCAACACCTCCTACCATATCAGTACCTCCTCCTCCTCCACCACCACTGCCACTCATATAACCTTCACCATTTAAGATGATGGATGTTGCCTGTGTTGTATTTGTATTCTCATCTTTTTCTATGGAATCTTCCCTTGAACTAGGAGTATGACCATCACTACCGCCCGTACCACCACTACCGCCTCTTCGACCATCAGTGCCACCTTTTGTATGTTTCTTATTGGATTTATTAGACAAACGTTTTGATGATAAACGAAAGTAACCTCGTAGACGTTCTTGTTCCTCTCTGTGCAGCACAAGCAAGGATTTGAATACAGAATAGTTGTTGTAGTTGTTTTTTTTTTTAATCATCCAGTTGATGTAACACCAGAAGTAGCATGTGGTAGATATTGAGTTGTAAAAGAAAAGCGTAAAAAAAGAAAAAGTTTTATAAATAATTTAATACATTTTGCTAAAGGCTCTTTGTAAGAAGAAATAAAATCATAAAGAAACAACAATTCATAATGTGATCCAACAATAATCTGCCAGCAGGATGTGTTATAAAGAAATCAAAACAGTGTCATTAAAGTTTTCACTTTGGTATAGAAAATCGATTTCTGTTCTGCTTCCTATTTGAAATTAATTTCACTTATTATTAAATATATAAATTGCTTATAAAATAAGTAATCAAATTATTGTTTTGAAAATTATTTTACATAAAGCATTTAATTTTTTCAAATGTGAACTCTTCATCAGTGGGCATCAGTGCCGGCAAGGAAAGTATGGTGATATCCAGGGGAACTTCTTCTATCCTCCCAAATCTCCAGAACTACTTACTTTACTATCTCTTTGTAAGCGTTCGTGATAAGTAATTACTTAACTCCCTTTTTTGTATCCAAAAAAATATTTCTAGCCTAATCACTGCTTCATTACAAATAATTCCAAGAACAATTCTCTTTAAGTATTTATTTGGAATAAAGTTTGTCTATTTATTTCTGAGCGCGTGATAGTGAGAAATATATATAGACTTGCAGGATTATAAAACATGAATACTTCTTTATGACAGATTTTATCTAGAGAATCCTTTTTATTTGAGAAAGTTTTAAAAACAATGAAAAGTCTTTTTTTTTACATTTTAAATGTTTTTTTCTTTCGTAATTCTAAGGGATTTATGTGGAATTTTGTAATTTGTCGCAGACATTAATATCGGCTTATGTTAAATTCTTTCTTTGGGAAAATATTTGAAAAAGGGATTACAAACTTTTTTGTGGAGGAGTTCCATTATGAAGATTTAATAGTTTTAATATGTAGTTATTAAGAGAATGAAAGATGTGGTAGGTTGATAGCACAAGTCAACAAAAATATTTTTTAAGTTAATAAATTAGACTAAATTAATATGCAAGGATATAAATATGAGGGATTTCATTAACTGGAAAAATAGAATAGAAAAAAAGCAAATTCTAAACATTTAAAAACCTTTGTTTTGAGTTACGAAACTTTTATTTGAATAGATATCGCACTCGCATCCCACTAAGCTGACTACCCATCTGAGAACTTGACGTGATTTAGATGCTTAAGTGAAATGATTTGTAGAGCCATACTGGAGGGAATGGCCAGCATAAGTTGGCTATTGCTGGCAGGGTCACCCATTTCAGTCGGGTCTGGTTTGAGCGCGAAACTAAGAACTACCCTCCCCCTGTCTGATAGTGTCTGTTTCCCTTTGGGATGGCTATCAGATGTTTTTCGCAAAAATTCGGACAACGTACTCACAAACAAGCACGATCCAAACATTGCTGTTGTTTTCATGCGTATGCATGCAAAAAAGTACTAAGAGGTTGTCATATCTCCTTTATTTATGGACCTATTTATCTGATTTTAAACAGGAAACTTTTCGGACGCATTCCAGATGGAATTATGTAATATATAGATCCCAAATATCTGGGGTCCTCAGAAAATTTATTTCAACATACAGACGGACTTGGCTTAATCGATTCCGATATCTGCAGGGATCCAGAATAAAACTATATATGTATACTTTATAGGATCGGGAACTTATATTGTACGAATGAGAAGCGGAATGACATGCCCTTACGAAGATGAAGGTTAGTTAATTAGTTAGTTAGTGAGTTAGTTAGTAGTTAGTTAGTTAGTTAGTTAGTTAGTTAGTTAGTTAGTTAGTAGTTAGTTAGTTAGTTAGTTAGTTAGTTAGTTAGTTAGTTAGTTAGTTAGTTAGTTAGTTAGTTAGTTAGTTAGTTAGTTAGTTAGTTAGTTAGTTAGTTAGTTAGTTAGTTAGTTAGTTAGTTAGTTAGTTAGTTAGTTAGTTAGTTAGTTAGTTAGTTAGTTAGTTAGTTAGTTAGTTAGTTAGTTAGTTAGTTAGTTAGTTAGTTAGTTAGTTAGTTAGTTAGTTAGTTAGTTAGTTAGTTAGTTAGTTAGTTAGTTAGTTAGTTAGTAGTTAGTTAGTTAGTTAGTTAGTTAGTTAGTTAGTTAGTTAGTTAGTTAGTTAGTTAGTTAGTTAGTTAGTTAGTTAGTTAGTTAGTTAGTTAGTTAGTTAGTTAGTTAGTTAGTTAGTTAGTTAGTTAGTTAGTTAGTTAGTTAGTTAGTTAGTTAGTTAGTTAGTTAGTTAGTTAGTTAGTTAGTTAGTTAGTAGTTAGTTAGTTAGTAGTTAGTTAGTTAGTTAGTTAGTTAGTTAGTTAGTTAGTTAGTTAGTTAGTTAGTTAGTTAGTTAGTTAGTTAGTTAGTTAGTTAGTTAGTTAGTTAGTTAGTTAGTTAGTTAGTTAGTTAGTTAGTTAGTTAGTTAGTTAGTTAGTTAGTTAGTTAGTTAGTTAGTTAGTTAGTTAGTTAGTTAGTTAGTAGTTAGTTAGTTAGTTAGTTAGTTAGTTAGTAGTTAGTTAGTTAGTTAGTTAGTTAGTTAGTTAGTTAGTTAGTTAGTTAGTTAGTTAGTTAGTTAGTTAGTAGTTAGTTAGTTAGTTAGTTAGTTAGTTAGTTAGTTAGTTAGTTAGTTAGTTAGTTAGTTAGTTAGTTAGTAGTTAGTTAGTTAGTTAGTTAGTTAGTTAGTTAGTTAGTTAGTTAGTTAGTTAGTTAGTTAGTTAGTTAGTTAGTTAGTAGTTAGTTAGTTAGTTAGTTAGTTAGTTAGTTAGTTAGTAGTTAGTTAGTTAGTTAGTTAGTAGTAGTTAGTTAGTTAGTTAGTTAGTTAGTTAGTTAGTTAGTTAGTTAGTTAGTTAGTAGTTAGTTAGTTAGTTAGTTCGCTAGTTCGCTACTTCGCTAGTTCGTTAGTTCGTTATTACTGACAATTTCATGAATTCTTAATTTAATTAGAAGTATAGCTTCAAAATATTTTTTCCACATAAACTTAAAAAAACTAGAAATTTCTTATATCTAATTTCTGAAAACAATACCCAAACTGTCTACAATTTCCATTATTTTTTCAATTTTAATTAAATTTCTTCTCAAACCAAAAAAATTGTGTTTTTTAGCAACTACAACTTAGTTGATATTAATTTATGTTTTCCATTGCAGAAAAACTTTTCTTTTCTCTGACACCTTCAATTTAAATAATTACAAAATATGTACATACTACCATTTAATATAATTTATTTATGAAAATTGTGCAAAATATAAAATTAATTTAGCACAATTTATGCTGCTGCCGTTGCTTACTTACCCCTCTACTCATAATTACTAAGTACTTACCTTGGTAATATTTGTGATGCATAGATACAGGGAAATATAACCGTGGGCAAAAAGGCAATCCATACAAACATCAAGTAGGTGAAATCAAAATGTCTTTGATTCTCGTACGTTTCCTCAATGGAGAGACGTGCGAAGCGTAAAATCATTAAAGGACACAAACACACAACCTGGGCAGCAGCCATACTGCCAAAATTACGTTGATTACGTTTCTCACGATTAACATCCCATTCAGCACTATACAAATCATATGACCTTGTTGCGGTGCCGGTGGAATACGGTGCCATACAAGTGCTGTGACTATTTAGCACACCACCACCTCCTGTTCCGCCTATAGTGGCGGTGGTGGCACCACTGTACGAACGGTCTACCGAAGAGGCCGATGAGTTGCTAAAAAAAATTTTTGAAAATAAATAGGAAACTAAGTTAGTTTAGTTTGACAAAGATGTGGAAAATGTTTTTGTGGTAATTTGTGTAAAGTTGTGTTAAAATGTTTGTTGTGGTTGGTTTTTGGTTTATGAATGCTTTAGCCAATTGAATTAAGTTGTCAATAAGGTTTTAAGGCATCTTCTTTGGTAGTGGCTAAATCCTCAAAGTCATTAAAACTGTTTATTATTAAAGTCACTTAAAAAAACAGATGTTTCTATTTAGGAAATAAACAATAATGTAGATTTTAAAAGCACTTTTTTAAAAAAGATATCTACAACATAAAGTAGGCTTTGAATTTAATTTATTTTAAGTGCCTAAAAGTAGGCTAAGTATTGTTTGAAGACCTAGAAAGGGCGATAAGCTATGTATATATGTTTTTAAAAATATTATTTAAGATGGAAGGACATAAAACTAAAGTTATTAAGTGATTTAAAATTTGAATTTTTTGAATATATTATACTGAGATGAAAAATTTTAATCGCTGCTAGGAAACTGAGGCCTTTTTCCGAAAAATTACTTTTTATTCGTGTTCATTACATCAATACCCATCGATTGAAAGGTATATCTACATTTGAGATAAAAATAAGATTGATTTAGGAATGTTATATTGAATTAATCCCCAAATGACTTGATTTAAACTTAATCCGTACTTGATTTCCGCGCCAAAAGAACTGTTCGGTTTTTGTGTTCAAAAACGAATTAAGACAATTTCGAATACATTTAAAGTGAAGCCCATGCCTATGGGGTAATGTCTTGACTAAAAGGATCGGGTTAATGTAATTTACATGGGAGTCTTGATAAGCCTTTATAAATGTAAACTGTTCATGTAAATATTACAGATCAACGCCGCAATGTTCTTCTACAGTTCTTCTTGCAGTCATATTTAAAGTCATTTATAAATTTTCCAAACTTTTTAAAGGTTAAAGGTTTCAGTAAATCTCAAACTTTTTGAATAAAAAAATCTCACAAATCCTATGTTTGTTTTTTTAATAATGATTAAAAAAGAAGAAAAATAAAGCATTTATTTCTCAGTTTAAATATGACTGTTTTATGACTACTTATGCTTTTCATATATGCATACTTCCAACCCTTTTGTATATGCTTTATAATATTTTATAATCTAGGTAAGAGTAACCTTTATTCACAAAATTTTAAAATTAACTTGACAAATCCTATAATTTGTGGTAATTAAAAACATATAATTTATTTTAAATACCAATTAGTAAACAAAATCCCTAAAAAGTATGCTAAAAAAAGACACAATGTTATAGCTCAATTGTTATGAGCTTATATAAAAAGCTTTACATTGTTCGAAAAAAAAAGAGAAATCCTAAAAATATACATATATAAAATTTGCATTTGTAATTAACCTTTAAAGTTTCATATAAAATTTGGATAAATAACAAACAAGGTATTATTGTTATATTATTTTTATAATAAGCCTAAATGTAGGCTGTAGAAAAATTTGTTTAAAAAGCCTTAGAAAATAGACTTTTTTCTTTATTATAAGTGTGCTTTATGTTAAAATAAATAAATACCTAAATAAATTGATTTTTTTTTTTAAACATTTTTTGAACAATATTTTATAATTGCAGTCCTTTTTTGTATCTTTATATAAATAAACAAAGAGTTCAATTTTGTTAACAAAATAAATATATTAATATTTTTCCTAAGAATTTTGAAAAATTTATTTTAAAAGTATTAAGGGCAAAAATACCAAGAATTTCTGGGCACATGTCAAGATTTTGAATTTTTAGAATTCTCAAAGTCCTATTGATATTATGAAAAGTTTAAATCCTTATCAATGATTTCTTAAACACATTTATATCATTAATATAGAAATCTCCATTAATAAAACTCAAACAATTTAAATTCAATAAGATTATTTAAGCAGCAAATCTTTAGCATTTAACACTTATTATAAAGCAAATATTGAATATTAAATGCATTATTTATTTAGTTAATTATTTACATAATTTATGCATAATAACTAATTGATTTACAAATTAAATTTATTTTTACTACCAAAAGTTCTTAAACATAAGTTTGAATTATTTAAATACAATAGAAATACTTAAAGTACTTAACCATCATTAGTGAACATTTGTTTTCTATTAAGAATTAAGTAAAGAAAAATTTTTATAAATATTTATGATTTAAAGAAAGTTTTAAAAAGGAGGAAATGGAGGAATATTTTGTTATGACAACATTTGTTTGTTAGCTGGCAGTTAAAGTTATTAAACGGTCATTGAACTAGAAATTTCTTTGTAGTTCTTAGAAAAGTACACTACACTTAATGTTCCATAAATAAAAAAAAGTTTAAAATTAATTTTAAATAAGTTATGAAAATTATCCTTAACTTCTCGAAAGCTTTCCATAAAAAAATAAACGTTGTTATTAAAGAATTGGTTTTCTACCAATAATAATAATAATGATTTACATGAACATTTTCTAAAAATAAAAAACTCATAGAAAACTTTCTAAAAACAGATAATTTATTCAAATACTTCTACAAATAGAAAATTTTATGAAAGCTTTCAGTAAATATAAAAAATTTATGAAAAGCTTTTTAATAATAGAGAAGTTTCTGTAAGCTTTCAATAAATAGATAATTTGTTAAAGCTTTTTGGTAATAAATTTATATATATAAGAAGCTTTTTAGGAATGGTAAATGTACCAAGAGCTTTTTAAAAATATAGTTTATATTTATCAAAATCTTTCTTAAACAACTTAATGTTGACAAAAGCTTTCTATGAAATCTTTTTGGAAAAAAAAGAACTAAAACTTTTATTTAACAATAATGAATATTTTCTAGAAATAAAAATTCATTGAAAGCTTTCTATAAACAGATAATTGATCAAAATAATTCTAAAAATAGAAAGCTTTTATTAAGTTATTTAGAACATCATGAACATAAACTAGATAGTTTACCGAAGGCTTTTTAAAAATACAAAACTTCTTAAAAGCTTCCTGTGAAAAGAAAATTTTTCAAAATTTTTTCGAATAAAATAAAATTTTGTGAAACGATTTTTTAAAGCTTTTCAATAATAGAGAAGTATGTATAAGCTTTCAATAAATAAATCATTGTTTAAAGCTTTTTGTTATAACATTATTTACACAAAGTTTTTTAGGAATGGAAAATGTTACAAAAGCTTCACAAGCTTTTATAAATGGGGAATTTATCAAAACCTTTCTAAAACAACTTAAAATTGACAAAAGCTTTCTATAAATATAAAATGTATCTAAAGCTTCTATAAATGTAAAATTTCTCTAAAGCTTCCTAAGTGAGAAGTATTTTTAAAAGCTTTTCGAAAAAATATATTTTCTCAAAAGCTTTTTATAAAAAGTTTTATATAAGTAGTTTACTTTATGAAATCTTTTTGGAATTAGAGAACTTTTCTAAAGCTTCTTAACAAATATTGAAATGTATTGAAAGTTTTTTAAAAATTTAAATATAAAATTTATTAAAGGCTTTATATAAATATAACCGATTTTAAAAGCCTTTTATATATTTCCTAGAAATAAACCGCCATTTTTAAAATATTCATGTCTGAAAAGTTTTCCATCCAATTCGAATTTATTAAATTTTGACAACTAAAAATAGAGAAAATCTAGAAAGCTCTCATTAATTATAGAATTTCTCTGAAGCTTTCAATAAAAAGAGTTTATATTCAAAGCTTCCTGTATACATATATATAAAATTTTGTATAATAAGTCGAGTGTCTGCAGCAATAAAGCTTTCTAGCAGTAAATAAAATCCTGACAAATTTCATTAAAATAAACATTACTGCGAATAATAACCATAAAAAAATGCCGTAAAACAATGACAGATGTTTGTTTCTTTTCGTTTCCGCCTGAAAATTATCTCCATGACTTTTAATTTTATTTAACTAGTTTCTTTTACACAATTTTTCTTTTCTTCCTGTTTATTGTTTTTTTTTTTTCGCCCTCATCTTTAATGTTGTCAACTGACAATAGCGAATGCTTTTGAAGAAAAGGCAATTTTTTTATTTTGTTAAAAATGTTTTTGTTCATTCGCTCTTTGTTACATTTATTTAATTTTTTCGCTTGTCTTCTATTATAGATATTTGTTAAATTTTTTTCTGCATTGTTTGTGATCTATTGTCATTCTAACTAGATTTTGTTTTCCATTATACCACTTTAAAATAATAGAAAATTACTCACCGTTGCCTCATTCTAATGTCAACGCGATGTTCGTACAGCATAACGGCCAATGGCTCTTCCGGTGGTCGCAATTCTTGTGAGGTTCTTATGTATAAATAGGCCAAGAGTACGGTGGGAGCACAATACCTGGAAATATTTTGTAAAGAAATGTTAAAAATGAACATAATTTTTAAAAAGTTGTTTGTAATACAATAAAGCAACTTAATAAACAAAATAAAATAACTTTCGTAAGAATAAGTAGGAAAAAGTTTATTGTTTTGGTAATTGTATTTTGTTACTTACATGAGTAAAAATAGTCCTCTCACGTATTCATGCATGTCATCCATTAAATTTACCACACACAAGCCCATTCCACTGAGGCGTGGAATAAAGTCCTGAAAATAAATTATTTAAGGAGAAACATTTGTTTTAGTAATTTTTGTATGTATTTACATATGTACTGTTATTAATTTAATAATTAAAAAGGTCTAAGATTAATTGTAGATTATTTAGAGTTTAATGCCCTTCGTTGGTAATCAAGGAATTATTTCTATGGAAGTTTTTCGAAAGCTTTTTAAAAAATTAAAAATTTAACTGAATAAACTTGCAATAAATAGAGATTCTATCAAGCTTACTATACAGTAGAAAATTTTGAAAGCTTTTTAAAAAAATATCGAAAGCTTTATTTTATTAGTTAGTTAGTTAGTTAGTTAATTAGTTAATTACTTAGTTAGTTAGTTAGTTAGGTAGTTAGTTAGGTAGTTAGTTAGTTAGTTAGTTAGTTAGTTAGTTAGTTAGTTAGTTAGTTAGTTAGTTAGTTAGTTAGTTTAGTTTGTTGTTTGTTTGTTTGTTTGTTGGTTTGTTCGTTTGTTTGTTGTTTGTTGTTTTGTTTGTTTGTTTGTTTGTTTGTTTGTTTGTTTGTTTGTTTGTTTGTTTGTTTGTTTGTTTGTTTGTTTGTTTTGTTTGTTTGTTTGTTTGTGGTTGTTTGTTTGTTTGTTTGTTTGTTTGTTTGTTTGTTTGTTTGTTGTTTGTTGTTTTGTTGTTTGTTTGTTTGTTTGTTTGTTTGTTTGTTGTTTGTTTGTTGTTGTTGTTTGTTGGTTTGTTTGTTTGTTTGTTTTTGTTTGTTGTTTGTTTGTTTGTTTGTTTGTTTGTTTGTTTGTTTGTTGTTTGTTTGTTTGTTTGTTTGTTTGTTTGTTTGTTTGTTTTGTTTGTTTGTTTGTTTGTTTGTTGTTTGTTTGTTTGTTTGTTTGTTTGTTTTTTGTTGTTGTTTGTTGTTTGTTGTTTGTTTGTTTGTTTGTTTGTTTGTTTGTTTTGTTGTTTGTTTGTTTTTTGTTGTTTGTTTGTTTGTTTGTTGTTTGTTTGTTTGTTTGTTTGTTTTTTGTGTTTTGTTTGTTTGTTTGTTTGTTTGTTTGTTTGTTTGTTTGTTTGTTTGTTTGTTTGTTTGTTTGTTGTTTGTTTGTTTGTTTGTTTGTTTGTTTGTTTTGTTTGTTTGTTTGTTTGTTTGTTTGTTTGTTTGTTTGTTTGTTGTTGTTTGTTTGTTTGTTTTTGTTTGTTTGTTTGTTTGTTTGTTTGTTTGTTTGTTTGTTTGTAACATTAGTTACAGATCCACAAAAGTATGTATATTCTGGGTCCTTATTGAATTCTAAGAAGAACTAGCCATGTCTGTCCGTCCGTCTGTCTGTTGAAATCGCGATGGAGTCCGAACGGAACGAGATAGAGGATTGAAATTTTCCACAAATATTCCCTATAGGTAAGGTTTATTTGGTATTGAAAATGGGCGATATCGGTCTACGTTTTCGGATAGCCCCCATACAAGTGGACCCCCGAAAAACAGCTTTAATGGGCATATCTGTTTCAAAAGTATATCGATGAAAATCGACATAAATAAGTTTCATTTGATCCGAAATCTCCCCACAAAATTTTATGAGGATCGGTTCATAATTGACCCTACCCCCCATATAAGGCCCCCTTCAGAAAATTTGTTTAACGCTCATTACTGGCTTAAAAATACTATTATAACAATGAAATTTTACATAAGTAAGTCTCTTATGATCAAAAACTTCTCTAACTAATTTTATGCTGATCGGTCCATAATTGACCCTACCCCCCTATAAGGTCCCTTTCAGAATATGACTTTAACGCTCATTACTGGCTTAAAAATACGAGTATAGTGATGAAATTCGACACACATAAGTTTCAATGATGCAAAAATCTCTCTATCAAACTTTATGTGGATCGGTCCATAATTGACCCCATATAAGGTGTCCTTCAAAAAATTACTTAAACGATAATTACTGGCTTAAAAATACAGAATACAGCAAAGCGATTAAATTCGACACACATACATATTTTTTATACGAGTTAAAACCTCTCTACCAAATGTATTGAGGAACGGTCCATAAGAAAATTTCTTTAACGATCTTTGCTCACTTAAAAATACGTGAACAGTTATGAAATTTTATATAAAAAAAATTTATAGGAACATAAATCTTCCTACCGAATTTCATGCGGAAAGTGTCGGGAAGTGATATTCGATGTAAAGATGTTTTGTATGAACCAAAATTGGTCTAAAAATTTTTTTATGAAAAACGGTCAATTATTAACCCTATCTCTCATATAACGTCCTCTTCAGTTAATTTGATGAGTACCTAATATCCTTTTAAGGCATACGGTTTGATGGTGGGTATCTGAGATTCGGCGCAGCCGAATATAACACTCTCACTTGTTATCTCTTACACATTACCTATATTAATGTTGCCTATTTGTAGGGATTTTTAAGCTCGATATAGTATTTTATTACTTAAAAATACATTAATGTTTTCTTTGTGCATATTTCACATTACCATACTCAGGAATTGGACATCTTTAACAACATTTTCAAATATGTATTTCTAACTTTGATTTATTGTTGGGAGGTGTGTTCAGCACATACAAACACATACGTACATAAATCTAGGCATGTCGAGATTCAAACAAAAAACTTAACACAACTTGCTCGTGTTAAAGATACAAGTTTATTTTTTGGCTGCATTTTGGAAGGTGTTTCCACTATCAACTAAATACAATATTGTACCGAACACGAAATGAAATTAATTTTCTAAATAATTTATAATTGACGTATAAATGTTTGTTATTGTTTGTAAATACATTCAAATAAATATTTAATTCTACGTTGAAGAAATGTTGTATAGAAATTGAATTGTATTGAACATATGTATATGATCTGTATGTGGGAGTATGGAAATTATTGGAAAATTTATTTGTTGAAATGTTTGGCAAATAGAAAATAGAATATACTTTAGATTAAATTAGTAATTGACCCACGTTTTTCAATTTAAGTATTCTTTAGTTTTATTTAATGTTAATGTTTGTACCCTACACTAATATATATTATTCTTGATTTTGGTAGAAAATCTAAAATCTAATTTCGTTAAAAAGGCGTTTTAATTGAAAATAACATTCCATCATGACTACTCACAGTTTTCTTGAAACATTTAACTTTTAAAGGAAAGGTGATAGTAATATCGGTCATTACCGGTTCGTACTTTCCTTACACGTTTGTGTATTTTAACGAAATGACATTGTCTATTTGTTCAAGTATTTGATCTGTTGTTGAAATTCATTTCAGTCTAATTGCATTTGTGTTACATACACATACATATTTTATATATGTGTGTTTAACCTGCTTCTACCTTTTAAGGTTCCAAGTTAAGCACATAAATAGAACGCACATGTTGCAAGCTAAAACCATCTGTTGGTGGTTTACAGTGTCAACAATATTAGGACTTGATATTTATGTATATAAATTTGTCATTCCATTGCTTTCTAAACTATAGTTTAGAATATACTATAGTATAGTCCTATAGTCTGGTCTATAGTCTAGTCTATAGTCTAGTCTATAGTCTAGTCTATAGTCTGGTCTATAGTCTAGTCTATAGTCTAGTCTATAGTCTAGTCTATAGTCTAGTCTATAGTCTAGTCTATAGTCTAGTCTATAGTCTAGTCCTATAAGTCTAGTCTATAGTCCTAGTCTATAGTCTAGTCTATAGTCTAGTCTATAGTCTAGTCTATAGTCTAGTCTATAGTCTAGTCTATAGTCTAGTCTATAGTCTAGTCCATAGTCTAGTCTATAGTCTAGTCTATAGTCTAGTCTTAGTCTAGTCTATAGGTCTAGTCTATAGTCTAGTCTATAGTCTAGTCTATAGTCTAGTCTATAGTCTAGTCTATAGTCTAGTCTAGTCGATAGTCTAGTCTATAGTCTATCTATAGTCTAGTCTAGTCTAGTCTAAGATTAGTCTATAGTCTAGTCTATAGTCTAGTCTATGCTAGTTATAGTCTAGTCTATAGTCTAGTCTATAGTCCTAGTCTATAGTCTAGTCTATAGTCTAGTCTATAGTCTAGTCCTATAGTCTAGTCTATAGTCTAGTCCTATAGTCTAGTCTACAGTCTAGTCTATAGTCCTAGTCTATAGTCTAGTCTATAGTCTAGTCTATAGTCTAGTCTATAGTCTAGTCTATAGTCTAGCTATAGTCTAGTCTATAGTCTAGTCTATAGTCTAGTCTATAGTCTAGTCCTATAGTCTAGTCTATAGTCTAGTCGATAGTCTAGTCTATAGTCTAGTCTATAGTCCTAGTCTATAGTCTAGTCTATAGTCTAGTCTATAGTCTAGTCGATAGTCTAGTCTATAGTCTAGTCTATAGTCTAGTCTATAGTCTAGTCTATAGTCTAGTCCATAGTCTACTTTTCAGTCAGTTCTTCTTATTTTCTTCAAACACTGTTCGTACCGTTTGTTATATGATAAGCGTTAAAAGCAATTGAACCAATTTCCTTTAATGACACAATGACTGACATTTTAGAAATGAAAACTTCTTTAACATACTCATACTTATTCAATGTTAAACACATATACATACATACATATGTACATATGCACTTAAGCAAAATCCCCATACCATGAAAATGAGTATGCATGATTGTCCTGAAAAAACATACGAAAGTATTTTCAATTTCATAAATATTTTATAATTTGTAGCATGACATCGAAACTACTTACTTTATTTGGTTTAAATTTAATTTGCTTTGTTTTTTTTTTGGGTTTTACCAGATATTGATTTTTTTTTAATTGAATTGTTGTTTGTGAAATGAATCCAAAAAGTGTACAAGTTTACTTTGAATACGAAATCGCCAGTGCTTTTATTAAAGGTAAGAAAATGAATTTACATAAATTTATTTTATTTATTTAAAAATGGGTATGCATTTTGTTTTCTTTGGTTTGTACCAAAATCTGTACAGGTGCATTCATCTGTATAGTAGATGTTTTGCAATTCATGCGTTATTGTTTTAAAACATAATAAAACTGAAAAATGTTTTTCTTTGTATTTGTTTTTCTTTATTT